TTTGTTGACAAATAGCTGAGGATGTTGGCTTTAGTGAAGAAGCCTACAATCATCAATCAATGTTTATTTATATAGCCCAATATCAAAAATGTTACATTTGTCTCAGTGGACTTCACAGTTTGTACAGAATATCAGTATGACAATACGACACCCTCTGTCCTTAGACCCTCACATCGTACAAGGAAACACTTCCAGAGAAACCCCACAGTTTAAAGGGGAACATGGGAGAAACCTCAGGGAGAGCAACAGAGGAGGGATCCCTCTCCCAGGACGGACAGACGTGCAATAGATGCCGTGTGTAAATCGAAGAGATAATACATTTTACAGCATAGGTAGACCAAATGTTTGGAAATGCATGTGTTTATAATAAGAAGATGAATCCACAATCAAGGATCGAGGATGTCAAAAATCCTGTGGGAGCCATCAGGGAAGTAGTATGATGAGTCAGGCAGGACCACAGTGATAGGTTCAGCCACGATTTGAAGTCAAATTACATTTAAGTTTAAAGACGTAATGTAGCACAACTATACATTTGATATAGCATTTTAATCAACACTTGCTTCCACAGTGGACATGATATAATAGTTTGTTTTGACTTTTAACTCAGGTGTTTAACACCTGCCCAGTATACAACTTAAGCAATAAAAGAAGCCTTATGATAATACACTGTAATCACAGACTATCAAAGCCTTGCATTTATAATCGTCTACACACACAAAAAAAAGGCGGAGTACAGCTTCTAACCTTTTAGCCACTCCTTTGTGTCACAGCGTGGGAATAATTATAACAAAGGGACAAGTATGGCTTAAATAACAAAGGTGTGAGACATTAATCAGTCCTTCCAACTCGACAGCAAATAAATAGAGAAGCAACCAGGCCATTTTTATAGTAGAAGAGCGCACCTTGTCATGGTAGAGAAATATGTATAGATGGCAGTATGGTACATGCTTTATCAAAACTATTATCTGCAGTACTTAAATGTAAGGGAACTACACTAATTAATAGACAACATATTTTAAATGCAAACGCACGTTTCAATCTACCATCGTGCACAAATACAACTCCTTCTTTGATGACAGCCTGCAGTACGATGATATCAGAAACAGCTTGGCACCACAATGTGACCAAAACAAAGGGCACAGATAAAACCGCTTTGGATATAAAGATTCTCACCAACCAGGTTTTTCTTGATCTATCACTTACGAAAGCAGTTCTCTTGAAGAACTCGGCCCATTGCATGTTGAGTCTGCGCAGCTCTTCTGCCAGGCTCCTGCTGGTGTGAGGGTCTGTGGACTCCAGCAGGAAGTTACCCACCTCATTCAGGTGGGCCTGTTTGGATCCCCACTCAGCCATTGAATCAGGTGTCACCTTAAAAAACATAAATGTACAAATCTTAAACGGTCAGAAGGGAGAACGACCACGATGACAAGAAAACCCAACCTTGCAAAGTGAAACAATGTGGTTCCTTGGCAAAAAAACAAACACTGACTGTGTGACTTTTATTTCAGAGGATTTCAGATATTATTTGCAAATGTAGAATTTTTAAATCAAATATAATAATTTATTTTTTTCTCATAAATTTGTAAAAAGACAAAAAAATGTAAAGGTAACACTAATATCATAAAATATCAATGTTTTATTTGTTAATGTAAGACTTCAATGCAATTTTTTTTGAGATATAAATAGCACACTTTTTTTATAAGACATTTAGACAAATATTTCTACAAGTTTCTACAAGCCTAGTTAAAAAAACAGAAGCTTCTAGCTAGGTTATGAAACATTGTTCTCTTGCCAATGTTAGATGATGTATGGCTTATTAAAATTACCGCTGGTCTGGGGCCATGGCTGTGTGATGCAGAGCTCTGCTCCAGCCAGGCCTGCAGGGAGCTGAATCCGTCGCTGTAGGAGTCCCAGGCGGACAGGACCCTTCCCATGGTGCTCTTGGCTGTGGTCACATCTTCCAAAACTATGGCGGTGTCTTCCTCCAGCTGCGTCACCTGCTGACTGACGGTGTGGTAATCTGTAGCTGAGGAGCAGAGAGGATAAGCTGTTGAATGACCTGAAGTGATCACCAGGGCAAGCTTTAAAAACATCAATAGAAAACTTACCAAGGGCAGATTTGCTTGAATATCTCTCAGAAACCTGCTTCAGTTTATGTAGAGCGGCTTCGAGCAAAGATGGTAGCTCCTGTGTGTTTACCAGATCCTGTTTAAAATAAATAAGTTAATTGCAGCATTGCTTATTAGAAAGTAAAACGTCTTTTGATGGCAAGGGGAAAACAGAGCAAATTCTGTTGTTATTATTAAACATTTACTACTTGTGGTGCAAAACAATATTGGTTGTAAGTCTGTCTAGCAAGTGGCAAAGTTCATGTTGTTGTATTATTGTATGTGCTGATGTATGACCATATGCTTTGTTGTGACTCAAAAACTGACTTCCAGGGAAATATTACAAGCAATTGTAGATTCATTTGATTCAGAATATGTTATAATAATTAACCACAAAATGAGAGGAGTTGTACGCAGTTGTTCTTAATCAGCAGGCCAGCTTGACACCCACACAGTCAGGAGGAACAATTGACTGAGATCCAACTTGTTTTGGGAGGTGCCAGGCAGAGACCCCTAATCTACCTGTATCAAAAATCTTATCATAAGGATATTATCAGAAAAAGATTATAATGTGTATGGCGCCCTCGTACAACTCCCTTCTTACCACTCCCGATAAATAAAACTATTAGTACTATCAGATAATAAATCTACTTGCATGCCATTCTTGCAGCAACACCCTGACAGCCTCTGGGGAGATGTAAGGTCTCTTCCAAACCCGCAGCTTTGTCCTGATCTGCCCTAGCAGATCCAACACAGTGTGGCGGTGCTCCCGGTACTCCAGCTTGATTCCGTGGTATTTAGCAGTCACTCTCACACTGGTGAACCTGGGAGAAGTGACACAAGTATGGTTGTGAAAGTCAGCAAAATGAGAAACAAACAACCAATTCCCATAAGAACCAAATTAAGTAATCATTTGTGTAATCAAATTTGTATGACTCTTAAGGCCCTGACACACCAAGCAGTCACCAGAGAACTTGCCGATGCCGACGCCTACTGTTGCGTCGGCGTGTTCTCCTGCGTCTTGGCCATGTGTCTCACTGGAACACACCGCAAAGACTTCAGCCGAATACGTACGAACTGCGCATGCGTGAGTGGCAATAACTCTCCTTACCAGCAGGCGGCGGTAGTGTGTATTCGTCATTAAAAACGGGCAACAACCGGAAGACAGAGAAGAAGAACAGACTACGTGATATAAACAAACAACAAAAAGCGTGTGCGTTCCATTTTCACTCTCGTCCATCGAAAACATGTTTCGTGCTGTACTGGAGCTATCGGAGTGTTGCTTGTGGAAGACATTCTCAAGCAACCGTTTCGCACTGATTCGCTAGCTGAACAGCCAATCAGAGTGATTTCTTTGTCCGACTGCCTGTGGCCGACGCACGGCCGATTCAACATGTTGAATCGGCCGTGCGTCGGCCATGAAAGGCCCAAATAAGGGGTGTCACGGCCGACGGTGCGGGACACACCAAATTGAGTTTGGGCGACAGGGCACGCTTCGTCGTCCGACTAACGAAAACGGCCTGGTGTGTCAGGGCCTTTAGAAGCATACAAATGGATAGCTTGTGTTGTACATTCCATTTTTTCTGGTTATTTTGTTGTGCTTAAACAATGCCGTTGATTGTATCCAGATCGTGGCTTTAGATTTACTACTAGGTCATTTAGCATAAGGTAAATAATCAATTCAAGCACTGTCCTTACTGTATACACGATTTCACACATACACAAACATACATGAAATCATGGGAAAGTGCCCTCACCTCCTCTTTAGTTCATCCATCTTGTCACTAGGAACCATCATGTTTGCATACTCATCCAGGTTCTGGAAGGACTGGAAGGTCTTCACTTGTTGCGGCATCTCCTCAAGACAGACCTACAGAGACATTGAGCAAAGAGCAGATTCATATTGAATTATTATACAAAATCACCATTGCTACTCTTAAAACCCCAGAACGGAGAAAAGGCTTATCAAATGTATCCCAAAAATAACTATTCCAGGAGCAAACTAATGTTACAGTTTGTATGCATTTTAGTATTCTCCCAATTAAGAAATAAAGGACATAATGCCGATATTATTTATAACTTAAATATGGAAAGCCCTGCATGAGGAACCTGAGGTTAACTAGGCAAATGTAATTGTTTTAAAAATGTCACTCCCTAAAGTTGTTTTGTTTAGGCATAGATGCAGTAAATATTCACTTTGAGGATCTCCTGTTTCTCCTTAGCTTCGTCCGCAGCTCGGCCGTGATCCTGCGGGTCGCCCTCCTCCTCGTTCAGAGCCTTCTCTGTTTTCAGCATCCAGCGAGCCACAGTGTCCAGGGGGGCCGGGACACTCATGTCCAACTCCACTTTGTATTCACGCAGCTAAATGAGAAATGCATGAAGAAAATTATCTACATAATTACTCATCTGTATAGATGCGATCATACAATAGGGATTATGCCATGTTGCTGGTTAAGAATGACATGTTATGTTCATTTCTATAAACATTAGACTGTTAAAGTGCATATATATATTTATAAAAATAGGAGATTTGAGTGTGTCTGACCTTTTCAGTGAGGGAGTCCCACGCCTCTCTGAGAGCCCGCTGCTCATCGCTCAGTTTCGGGGTTCGTCTCATGGCTGTCAACAATGGCATGATGGGACGCCGCTGCTCATTAAAGGACACCAGAAAGGTTTGAAAGACCTGAGGAATGGACAGGAACCGTTAGTTACACTCTTTTATGGTCAACTTAGACAACAAGAACATTGAAACATGAAACATGAAACATGAAAGAACATTTCATTTAAATAAAATCACATTTCCAGACTTGAAGGAGCAGCAATATGATCTGCGGGCATTTATGACATTTTGGAAAATATTAGCGTTTGAATGAGCCCTGGTGTGAAAAAAAGACTGACTGCATAATTTTGTTTTGTAAAAAATTCAATATGAATATAGCTAGTTGATACATCAATTTTGCAGTGATAAGAAACAATGCTTAGTTTCTGTGTTTTAGATTTGAATAGGCATTTGTTGGAGACGTACATGGTATCTTTCTGAGTAGCTCTCTCCCTCGGTGGAGTCCCATCCCTCCAGCAGCTCATCGTAGGCCTGCACCAACCAGCATGTCACTTCCTGTATCTTTTGATCAGTCGTTGCCTGGAAACATGGACAAAAAAACTGTCATTGAATGAAGACTGATGAACAAATTTGGCGAAACACAATCCTATTTTTCACAACCAAATGTAAGTCATGATCAGTGATATTTATTTTGCTTTAGATATGTATAGCTTTTTCTTTTATCTGCACATTGAGTTCTAAGTACTGTATAGAAGGAACACGATAGCTAAACATTGTCCCAGCTGGTCAAATTAATGAAATTAAATGCCCGAGAATTAGCCTTATTTTATAATCTATGACAGCCAAGAAGAAATGCATTGCAACTGTATGCCCAAACATAGCTCTACACTCAAATGGTGATAAAATAACTGCAGCTTTGTTTGTTTATTGAAATCCCTACCAGTGTTAGGAACTGTAACCAATAGAAACAGGGTAAGGCAATGATAATAATAATAATTCATGATATTTATATCCCAGTGTTTGAAGACACTTTACAAGAACATTTGAGAGAAAAACCAAAGGTTGAAAGACTAAATAGTGTGAGGAGAAAGATTGTGTCGATGCAATAAAAATGATTTAAGCAAAAAGCGTTCCCACAAGGCACCAACAGCAGTCATGGGATACTAATACACAAACATAATGGCGGCTTGAGTGCCAAAATGTTTTGTGCTGCAAGCAAGCCTGCACACAGCAGAATACCAAGCTTGTACAAAAGTTTGATGTGGAAACAAGGTTGTTGTTTTTTCCCTCATTACAACATGGAAACACATTAACTACAACAGCCACTTCATATTGTGCTGCAAATGCTTATGTTTGAGACCATGTTGTTAGATATGTTGTAAGGCAATGTCTATGGCATGTATATATTGTATAAGGATGCATTATATACAGGGCAATAGACACTTTTAGATGCATGTTGAGATGTGTTTCTCAGGTGTTATTTTTCAGACTGTTTCCCAGACTTTAATTAACTGCAATGCATCTTGCACAATCAACCCAGGATTATTCTCTACACTTACTTGCTACCCTTTTCCCTCAACCTATCCTAAGGGAGTGCAACTAAATACGTTGTGCCTCTCCACCTCTGTTCCCTACTTCTTAACTACTACTCTTTTCCCTCAACCTATCCTAAGGGACTGCATGTACGTAGACACGTTAGTTTAGCTGCTATAGGCTTGGACTGTCGGGGGACACCTTACTTCTTCCTTCAGACTGTCTGTACCCGTGTACTCTCATGTTCCGATTCCGAATAGCCCAGCTTCCCCCAAATTAATTTTTTGTGTCTATATCTACGCCGGGATCCTGAGTCGAGGCTGATCCTGTTGCTGTGGTCGTCTGTCCTGGATCCTGTGTCCTGAGTTCTGGATTTGAGTCCTGGACTTCGAGTCGTGTCTCTGTGGTCCTGCCTGACTCTCATCATACTACTTCCCTGATGGCTCCCACAGGATTGTTGACATCCTCGTGGATTCATCTTCTTATCATAGATACATGCATTTCCAAACATTTAGTCTACCTATGTTGTAAAATGTATTATCTTTTCAATTTACACACGGCATCTATTGCACGTCTGTCCGTCCTGGGAGAGGGATCCCTCCTCTGTTGCTCTCCCTGAGGTTTCTCCCATGTTTCCCTTTAAACTGTGGGTTTTCTCTGGAAGTTTTTCCTTGTACGATGTGAGGGTCTAAGGACAGAGGGTGTCGTA